GTAAATATTTTATATTATAAATAATACGTTAGTTGTTACACTACAGTACCAACTACACATAAGTATTTAAACTTTAAATTACAGAGTATAATATAATTTATCTTTGCTATTTTGTATATTTTTATTTTCAATCGATCTTATAGATTATAGAACAATCTTGAAACAATGTTTAATACCATAGAATATTACGAATACATTAAGAAGACCTAATTATTTGTAGGAATGTTCTTTTATAACTTAAACGTCAAACAATTGTTTTTTTACAATTATTTTAATCGTATAAAGTAAATACAATGCGTGTATTTTAGATAAAGTCAGTAAAATGGTGTGATTTTATGATATTACGAATAAAACGTGATTTTTATTTGAACACTGAAGTACAATTTTAAATCACCAAAATAAATCTTTTTTGAAACATTATACTTTCATAATATAAAAAAGAAATCAATGCTTTTAAATGTTACAGTTTTTTTAATAACTTTCAAAATAATTATAGAAACAAGTTCTGTTAAATAAAACAGTGATTATAATTTCCCAAGCATCCATAGTTCACTCTAACAAACACAAATTAATTTAGATAACATACCTAATCCTAGATCCGAGTATATTATACACATATTAAAATAACATTAAAGTGATTTTAATAGTACTTGAGAGGGGAGAGGAACAAATAAAGTACTATGACACATAAAAAATATGTAAAGAATTTATTCAAATTATATGGACTATCAAAGCAAATATACATTAATGGTTGTTTTAGATTCTGAGTGGAGCGATAAATATATTCAATTTACAATGAAGTGTATTATTTTTTATTTATGTGTCTAAAACCAATTTTGATAACAGAAAAAATGCTTTGATTTTCAACGTTTATAGTGGTTTTTTGGAGCAATTTGTATCAAGCTTATACTTTGTGGGTCAAAAGTGAAAAATTACCAATATATTATTCGAAAATTAATGAAAACAGTAATTTTTAAGTAAAACATGGTTTTGGAAAAAATCGTATAACTTTCTGATTTTGTTATAATTACTTAAAATTTTCTTCAATTATTAATAATTAACGTTTATAACTTTCATAGTATTTTGATTTTTTTTTTTAGCTATTTATAGATGATTGACATTTTTTATTTGCTTTTTTTTATTGTTGACTCAAATCTCGGTCCAAAATATTGAACATTTAAATCAAAATCATACTATTTGTTTTTCTTTTAGAAATTAAAAATATTTAAAATATATCGTTAAGTTTTTTTTTTTTTTATGAGTGCAAAGTTAAAATTTTGACAAAATTACGAAAACATATGTCTTTAAGATTTATTAATACATGTTTTCTTATGAGTAGTTCATACTGAAACTAAAAAAAAAAAATAAATATATATATAAACATAAATAAACATTTATTTTGAAGTTGAAATTTTAAATTAATTAATTATTTAAATAAAGAATAATGATTTTATTTTTGATGTAATTCAATAATTCAATTATCAGGTACTTTAGAACCTTTACAAAAATGATCACATCATAATCTTAAATATTATTGCCAAGCTAATGAACATAATATAAATTTTTATTTAATTTTATAAGTAAGTATGGTTTTATAATATATAAAATTATCACTATTTGGAGGGACATATTTTTGACATATTGTTAGGATTAGGTAGTATCTTAGATATAATAAATAATTATATTTTATATCTTGACGCATTTTAAATATCAATTATTTTTTATTGCGATACGTTTTTAGTCTATCCATTGAATATTTCATAAATAATTTCTTTAAAAAATACCGGATACATTAAAAGAATAATTTTTAAAACGATCGTTTTTTTTCTATGGACCAACAAAATTTATTATTATTAATAATAGTATTTAGTCTATACACATATATATATTGATTATTATATTATTGCAAGATTAGTATTGTACATTTTTTATACTTGAAAAATATTCATCAGTTATGTTTGACGAGTCTTTGATGGACATTGAATGAAAATTTCCTATTTGTCATTTATATGTCTATTAAAGATATCTTACATAGATATCATACCATATTTGTTGTATGAATGAGTATTGACGTATAGCTTAGTAGTTATAGATGGCGTGAATGGTTAATCAAATATTATTATAACAAGAATCATATAAATGTATTAGTATAGAAAATTCTCAAATATTAGGTAGGTACATCATTTATGCGATCAATTATTTTGTATTAAGTTCGAAATTAAAAGTAAAATAAATTATATTAACACTGACTGGCCTAATTATTAAAATATATTATAGTAAAATATTGATGTTATACCACAAATACATTTATTAAAATGACTCAATACGTAAATACTTATTACCACCTGGCTCGTGGGTATGTCGTTTATGCATTTATGAACTATTATTTATTATTATTACGTAATTTATGAAATGTAATTTATAGTATTGTATTGAATACTTTTCTAAAAATGTATGTAGAGAATAAATATTACTTGTTTATACTTAAATATTCTCATGAACCTATATAACTCGTGTATAATTTTTGAATAACCCATGAATTAGTTAATTTTAATGTATCAAATATTGAGTATCCGAATATTTAAAATTTAAGCATCGAGTATCTAGTATCCCGAAGTTCCAAAGATAATTATAATAATTGTGATACTGATTTTAAAATATATTGCTCATCCCTGCGTATTGTCAACTTTTTAGGTATATTTTTTTTTTATTACAATTGTGTGATTCATAATATAATGTATTTAAAAGAAAAAAACGTAACATTTCATAATATTTATATTCTATGATTCGTTTTTGTTTTTTTAATAATATTATTATTATTGGGCAGATAATAAAATATAAATTATATCATTTTAGATTCTTAGCACAGCAATGAATTTATATTGATTATACAATAGTGCATTTTTGTTATTTTTTTATATCATCAAACAAGTAATTGAAAAATGCTTCAATTTTATATTTTGAATACAATATAGTTGATAAATTTATTTTTATTTTCGGTAATTTTGAATATGGCACGTTTTTATTTAGCTGCATTAATCTGAGATGTGATTGCTTATTCAATGAGTAGCTTCTTATAATTATATACTGCATTACTTTGTTCGGTAAGTTTGAATAAATTGACATATAACCAAACGACGAACGAGACACTCGTTATTTTAAGCAAAATAAAAAGTTTTTATTTTAAAAGCGTTTGCATTAATAAAATGCTTTAATCTGACTTAATTATACGAAGATTACGCAGTCAACTAAGCTTTGTTTTCCACTAACAAAATATGTGACACAATTACAGATAAAAGTGTTGTATTCTAATTGAAATTTTTTAAAAATCAATCTTAATATTTAAATATTATGTTTTCAAGGTTTCTTAAAAATATTTAAAAATAGCATTCGGAATCTCACATATTACTACATTAGATACCTACATACCTATTAGATAAAATATTTAATAGGCATATGCTAGTTAATTGACTTTATATTTATATTACGACATAATTATAGATGTATATAATAATATAACTTCTCAAAAAAGTATAACAACTCACTAGTTAATTGCAATTGTGTTAGTTATAAATGCGTCAATAACTCGATAGAAGTATAATTTTATTATTTAAATTTATTTTTAATAATATTTCTAACAAATAGGTATAGATAATATAATATTAAAATAACAATGAAAATAAAAAATATATTATATTAACTTATATTGACTGTAAATAATGTTTATATATTTGTTTATTTCAATAATTAATTAATAATCAGCAACAGTATTATATTAAATTCGAACATTATCAACAACCATCATAATGCTGTGTGTGATATGTATAATGCTTATAACAGCAGTCAGAAATGTGCATGTGTCAGTTCGTCTAGAACAAAGATTCTTGGACCCCCAGTGACCTGTGAGCCATACCTACAAAATCAAAAAATATTTAGTTTTTCCTTTGGTGCGTGACACAGAGATTGATAATCGTCGGAAAGATATGTATCACACTGCGCGAATACTGCTTAGTACCTACGTTGTTTACTTATTCATTTTTATTATATAATGTCACTTATGTTGTTAAAATTATAAGATACCTGATAATATCTAAAAAGATTTAATAGAGTTACAAAACTATCTAAGGGTACATTTGTATCTAATGTCGGAAAAGTTTTTAGTATAAACACGAATGAGTATCCTAAGTTTCGAGAAATCACATTAAGATATTTAATCATATTTTCGATAACGTATTTATGTGATCAAGGATTTTTTAGACAACTTTATATTAAAATAAACAAAAATATCGGTTAGGTGCCACTAAGAATGCATGTAGCTTTAAGCAGTTATTATACTCCAAAAATATCTAGGTTAGGTAGTAAAAGAAATGCAAACCCTAAAATCACATTAAATTGTTATTATAATTATTGTAATAAATACCTTTAATAAATATTCATTTTTTTTATAGAAGTAATATGTGTTAAATTTTTGATAAATATAAGACAACATCGATGACAGTGACATTTATTATACTATTTAAATGTGCTTTGACTGTGCGAGTACAATTTTAATAGCGGGAATCTTCGTTTTAGCAACATACTGAATTTTTTTCAAGCTAAAAATATTTCCATTTCATTATAATAAACTATACAAAATAATAATATTGTTAAAAAAATATATTTTAGTCATTAATTCAAATATCTTTTCATTAGAAATTTCAATAAAATAGTCAGGATACAAAAAAAAAAAAAAGAAAAAAAATAATAATGGAACTATGTGTCTCTGATTTGAGTACTGATATCCGTCTAATATATATGGTATGATGTAAAATTTATCAAAATGTAATAAACTAATAACTAATACAATAATCTTGCAATATTTTTATATAAATAAATATTTTGTGTATATTATTTAAAATCAGGATTCAATGTTTATATTAAAATTTTAATTCATGTTTTACAGCGTATTTTATGCCCTATAAATGTATATAAACTTATCAATTGTTTTAAATTTTGGAACAATGATTATTATACTAATGTTGTTGGCTATGCTACACACCGGATTGGCAACCATCGCTGGATACGAAAAATTGGAAAACAATTTCCTTAAAAAATTGGGTACAGTTTTTATAATAAATTTACTACTGCAATAATTAATTTAAGAATAATTGAATGGAGTAATTGTATTAAATTATCGTTTTATTATAAAGGTTTAAGCCAAAGACCTGTGGTAGAAAAGGATTTGGAAATACCATCTGCCACAATGGAGCTGTATAATTCGATGTCAAATGCAACGTCAACACATATTCCTATTCCTGGTTTGCACACAACTTCCGCTAATACTGCTAAGACATATTACAACAAAGGTACCATATGTAGATATCTACAATTTATATATTTATATAAATTATAAATTATTTACCTATACTACAAACAAGTTATAATTTATGCTTTAATTCTTTAAATTTTCTTTTAAAATAAAATAGATTGATACTAATTAATATTAAATATTATTTAATTATAATGAGTTAATATACTTTAGTAGTACCTATATAGATTCAATGAATAATGAGAATATTAATAATTTGATTATACTTTTATAGGATCTCCAATTAATTCTAAGTCTAAAAGATATAGATTACAGTTCGATATAGATTCTATACCGGAAAAAGAACAGTTTAAAGCTGCTGAAGTACGTTTTTCTATGTTATACGATAATGTTACACAAAATGAAGAATTTATTCATGTGGTTATACAAGATATAATCCAACCTGGCATAAAGGGAGTATCAAAACCTGTTCTCAGGTAATTATAACTATTAGTAAATAATTATTAGATATATATATATTATATATATGTATGTATAGGTAATATCATTCATTTTAGAATATTATATATTACAATAATATATTCTAAACTTTATAATGTATAAATTTAATAAATGTTAATCAATAAAATATTTATATTTATAGAATTATCGATTCAAAATCAATTAATATGTCAAAAGTTTCAAAGTCAGAAAGTTTTGATGTAACACCTTTCATAGAAAGACTGTTGAAAAATAAGTTTAAAGACAACAATGGTTTACTCGTACAATGCATCAAGTTTTCTGGTAGTCAGATAAATTTGCTCAACGTCTTTGATTTCATGTCACCTGAAAAGGCTTTACTACTTGTCTACACCGATGATGGAACAAGTAATAATAATGTTATTCGAACTATACCGTTAATTTTTTTATATAGATAAGTAAATAAAAAATAGCTTAAATGCATGAGATACGATGGGCTTTCCCCAGCGTGAGAGTTTCTCAACACTTTTAAATTGAATTTTTGGATAAAAAAGTTTTGGATACTATAAAAAATTATTGGATATTATATTATCTATAACTACGTTATCATACAATCATTGTTTCGGCGGTCGGCAATGTATTATAGTCCATTATTTTAACCACGATTTATTCAATTTTTTGCTTATTTTTTTATCATTAGAACTTTGTCTTCGTTATTGGCAATTTGTAATTTTTCGATTTTTTAACGACAATATATCGATTGTTGCGCAGGTGAGAAGAGCTCGCTGGAACAGATGATGCAGCGCAGCAAACGGTCGGTCGCTCAATTGGGAGGGTCACAGAAGAAAACGAAAAAGAAAATCTGTCAGCGGTATTCGATGTACGTGGACTTCAAAGAGGTCGGGTTCAGCGATTGGATTAAAGCGCCGCCGGGATACGAAGCGTTCTATTGCCATGGAAAGTGTTCGTTCCCGTTAGCCAGTCACATTAACGCGTCCAATCACGCGGTCATGCAGACGTTGATGCACACCTTTAACCCGTCGCTGGTTCCCCTAACGTGCTGTGTACCGACCAAACAGAGTTCGCAGACATTGCTCTACTTGGACACCGATGGAAAATTGGTGGTGAAAAACTACCCGGACATGTCCGTGGACGAGTGCGGATGTAGATGAGGCTATGGTGTGCGTAAGTACATATTACATTATGCCACATTTACACGCGTCCTACTCCATGATATCGTTGAAACTGCACTATACAGTTATGCATATTTTTTATATAATTATCATCGTTTTGTCTTCTACAATTTAAAAAAAAAGGTTTACATTATGCAAATTGTAATAAATATCTTTAATAAATATAATAATATATTATTTTATTATTTTATAGTTGTAATTTGTGTTAAATTGTTAATAAATAAAAAATATAAGACAGCATCGATGACAGTGATTATTAATTATATAATGTACAATTTAAATATGATTTGACTGTGCGAGTGCAATTTTAATAACGCGAACCTTCGTTTTAGCAACATACTGTATTTTTTCATACTAACTAAAAAAAATATTTCCAATTAACTATAATAAACAATACAATATGATAATATTATTGAAAAAATAAAAAAAAAAAAAACAACATTTAAAAAATATATTTCAGTCGTTTGCGTTATGTGAATTTAAATTAAACTTTAAAGTAAAATAACATCACTTACGTCATAAGATATGCATCAAAATTTTCAAAATTTGTAATTTTATGATTGATTTTTTTTTTAAACCATTTTTTGTTATGTATTTTTAATGCTGTTTATAGACAAGTTAATACAAAAAACATTATAGCTATACTTATTGAGAATAATTAAGAGATGATTAATTATACATAGTTTCAAGCATATAATGTAGATCTTTTTATTATATTATAAAATATATTTTATAGTTCTCCATTCTGGGATTTATAAAATTATGCTTTTTTAAATGACATGAATAAAAAAAATCTTACCGTTCGTCATAAAAAATGTATGAATGTATTAATGTTAGGTACACCAATTTTTTAATGTAAATATTCATAAATAAATAAAGGTAACCCACAATCTATCAATTATTTAATATTTCCTAAAATTGTTTTTTGGAATTTTATTGAATTTTAAATTAATTTTTAAGATTTTAATTGTAAATATTTTTAATCATTTATTGATATATATATTTTTGTAATAATATTTTTAAGCTACTTTGAACAAATTCATCAAAAATATGTATACATTTTTTTAAAGTTATGTATTATTTTATTTTTTATTTTGATGTTTTAAGACTTAAAACAAATATTTCTGGAAAAGGATCATAGTTTCAAACTGTTTGCTTCTAACTTTTTTTTTTTTTTTTGATATTGCTGTATTTTTTTTTTTTTTTATTTCATATTTCTGATTGTATATATATATATATATATATGATTATTATTTTAATAAATTTAAAATGATTATAAATAAAAAAAAAAAATTAAAGTTTTTGGTAAAGATTTTTATGATTAAAAAATGATTTAGTATTTGTCTGGTTTAATATATTGCCATGAATTGGTATAGCTTATCTTAACTCAACAATAATTTATTTTAATATCGAAAGTACCATAACTGTTTTAAAATACTTGTATCAATTCTATAATTATAATTTTAAAATTGTTACTTTGAATTTAAAATATAATAAATTATTAATATTTTTAATTATAAACGAACATCATGTTCGAAAATCTATTGAATACGTTACAATTTTTCTCACAAACCAAATAGTTTTTAACAAATATTTCTTTTGATATTCAAGTTATTGTACTGAACGAAATATTTAAAATAGAATTCGATAATCCCAAAAGTATAATTTAATATACACATACACATAGTATAACCCAATATGTATTAAAAAATAAACTATAATATAAGTATAAAAATTTTAAATACTTTATTTTTTATATTGAAACCATCATCTTTGAAGATTTAAAAATCTATTAGTATTTTGAAATATTTCCTATGAGATTCAATGAAAAACTTATTTAAACAACGATTTAATACCAATTGAGTATAAAAATTACTGTGTAATTTTCTAGTTATTACTTATTTGTCCAGTTCATAGAGCCATCTATGTTAAATGAACTTCAGTTCCACTATATGTTTTTAATTTTGGTAATTTTTTGTCTTTTGCGTTTTTAGATCCACTCAACTGTGCAATTAGTTTTATTTAAATAATTACAATAATATAATTAAATAATAACATATTATAAAATAGGTACTTGCATTTTCCAATTCCTAAAACCCGCCGTTGTGAATAAAGATTTCACTGAACTTGTCCCAAAAAAACGGCATGCAAAACAGAATATGGGATTTTTAGTTGTACAATACTTTATCTATTTATTTTAAATTTTATTATGTGATTCATTAAAAATACGTTTTTGCTCTTCAAACTTGGACATCAAAAATTTAAAAAATTAATACTATAATAATATATTTTCATTTTCATTTTTATATTGGTATTTTGTTTTTTTGTTCCTATAATCAATGTCAGATTACTTGTAGTACATGAAATACACATAGTAATAATTCCAGGCCAATTATGAATAATTACATTTATTTTTGCTGAATTTTCAACCATAAAAACCTTTGGATATCTAATATATCTAAAATTATAATTACTAGGCAATGCTTTTTTTGTCAAATTAATATATTTCTAGTTGAACTTAAAATGCAATTTCATCTAAAATGATATGTTTTCAGTAATAGATAATTATGGACCAGCAAATAACACAAATTTAAATAAAGAATTGTAAAATTCAAGCTTATAAGCTTATTTTTTTAAATAAGTAAATAAAAATTATAGTGTTTTTAAAAAATGATAAATTATTTTAGAATCAAACTAGAATGATGAAATTATATTTTATGCGACCAGTTTAAGAAAAATCTAACTATTATTTTTCTTGTTGAATTATTTAAATGTATTATATTCATAACAATTTCCAAATAAGTATTGATTAATTAACATATTCCTAAAAATGTATAATACGTTTTACTTGTTGAATTACTTTAACAAAAATATTATTATTTTTCAAAGATACAACTTAATTTGTGTGAATGACAAATACTGTGATAAATTTTTTTATAAAAGATAATTAATTAAAATAGTTTAGTATAATTATATTAAACATAATATAATATTCAGATTGGTGGCTTAAATAATTTATTCATTTTAAAGTACCAAATAGTTTTTCATTCTTAATTTTACAAAACTCAGTTTTTCTAGTCCACAGTGTGTCTATATTTATTGTATATAATATAAATACTGGACATTAAATGATTTTGAAATTCCCTTATAATTTTTTTTAGTCAGCATTTCATTAAATCTATTGTGGTGACAAATACGTTTTATTTTAATGAACTTCATATAGCAACAAAATGAATAATATCGTGTATCAATAATTATTTTATAAATTTATAACATAATAAATTATGTTATTGGAATTGGACTATTAACAAAATAATAACAAAATTGAACTATAATTACTATAATTATTAACAATATTTAAATATATTTAAGATATAATTAAAAAATATAGCTATAATATAATAATTATAATTCAACACTTCTAATTACAATTTAATATGTATGTATGCACTATAAATATAGTTAGGTAATTTATACTTTTATTACGAATATTTACTTAAAGAAGTATACTCCAAAAATAAATTATGTATAATTTTTATTAATAAATTATAATAAACATATATTCAAAAAAAAAACATACATATGTATTACAGTGATGAAATGGTACTCACACGGGGTGAAATACCACCTCGTAAAAGTAGAACTCTTGGTCGTGTTCAGTCAAGATGATTTTTTATATACATATACAAATATTTTAATTTTTATACAAATATAGGTAAGGGATCGATAGCCTAACCGGCGATCAGTACTCCCTATGAAGACATTTTTTTAATACATTTTAGTGCTTGAAGAACATTAATTAATTCAACGCTCTATGTTTAAGAGATATTAAAAGTTTTTAGAAATTGCATTTTGACCGATTTTTAGGTAAGTTATGTCAATTAGTAGGGATTGACGTCATTTACCACGTTAACATCATTCACCGTAACATATATATATACATTAGATATTCTTATTAATTTATTCCCTTCATAAAATTTTATTTTATAAGTTATAATAGAGCACAGATTTGTATACATTTATGTATTAAATCTGGTTAATAGTATGATTATAATTTAAATTCTAAATGAGCATAAAATTTGTTTCATGGTATAACGATTTAAAAAATGAAGCTTTTTTAGTGCATACTTCGACACTTTTCTATTTTAAAAGCTTAATTTATAATTTTAATTGCATATTTCATTTTTTAGTGGATATTTCGATGTTGTTAGACATAACAACATTTAACATTTTTGAAATATATACTATTGTCTATTATTATATAAGAAAAGAATATATGTTTATGGTTTAATATCAAAATCCCCTAGTGTGATTTATAGCAATAGAATATAATAGTATAATAATTCAAGTTAATGGAGAATCAATTCACCATATTTTAATATTATTTTTAAATCAACTGCCCATATCGTCTGTTTCGCTTTGAGACACCACATTTTTTACACTACTAATATCTCGTATTTTTTTATATAGAAGATAATAATATTATTGTAGCTGGAGTATAATATCACCGCATTACAGACTGTGATCGTACATCCTTCTGTCGATTCGTATAATTTACGAATGCCTACGATGTGCAAAAGTTTCCCTTCACCACGGCGTACTACGATGTTCAATAATTATGATACCTTTATTCGAAGCTATATATTATTGCGCGTTCGACCTTCATATTTTCGACATCGTTTCATATCGTTAGACATAATATTATGATTTGTGTTTACATATTTCATTTGCTGTTGTTTTGGTCGAACACAAATTCTTACAGAACCGTCAGTCCGGCACGCTCGGCGGATATACAGAGATCAGGTCAGGCGTCTACGATGTCCTAAGATATGCCAATAATGCGGATTCAAAACGTCTACGTGTATATACGCTCCAAATGGTATAATACGAACACTAGAAAAAAAATTTCGCGAAAGAGTATATAGCTACAGTAAAAGCGTATTCCGCTTAGGTCGGATAAACGGCAAAGACTCGACATG